TTTTTGGGAACCTTCTATCCTATTTGCCTCGTTAATAGAAATCGGTAATGCCTATAACATGGATTATTTAAAATAATATTTATATATTGCAAATAAAGGTTGATGGTTTGACTATATAAATTTGATGATTCATTTCTAGAATAGGGATTGACAATGTTTAATTTTTTTCGAACTCATAAAATAAAGATGAAGCTCAAAAATTTAATTATAATATCAACAATTTCATTCTTATTAAAAAGCGACATATAAATTTTGAAGTCCCAATATATATTTCTATTTTAAAAAAATTTCTATGTAGAAATATATTTGAAATAATCTTGGTAATATCACAAATGTTATAAAATATTTATTATTTTATAAAATTTCTAGTGAAGACAAAAGTATTTTAGATTCTGGTTATCAAATTTTGAGAAATAAGTTGATCGAAATGCTTTAGAAGAAAATCTATATTGATGAATTTCAAACTTCAATAAAAAATCAAAATTGGGTGCTTATGTCTTCCACATTATAGATGCAAAAGTGAATGTTATAAATTGATAGAATATGAGCATTTTTAGAACCACTATAAAAAAGGAAGTTTGATTAAATTTAGAAACTTAATGAATTTGAAGCAATAGCTTTCAATCACCAAATCAAAGCTATTAGAGAAATCCTCTAAAATTTGGTTAATCAAGGAAAATGTCTAAATTATTCGAAAATTTACTTAATTAGGTTTTACAACAGAATATATTTCAATTTTAATTGGATTGCCATGTAATGCAATATATTGAAGAAAAAAATTGATTCCAAATAGTCATGAACTAGAGGAAAATGTTTAACATTCAGACAAGTTCCTCTGGATTTTATAAAAAATAAAGAGAAGTTTAGGTTACATTATATTGTATTAAGATATTAACTTATATCAAAGAACATTATTCAACAATATATCTTGATCAAACGACTTTCTGTCATCAAACAAAAAACCTAAAATGTTGATAAAGAAAGGAAAAGTAAAATTCAAAAGGATAGTCAGTTTAAACCGTAATTTGCATGTTATTGGAGGGATAGGTTCGAATTGATTTCATGTTTCTAAATTTGTTAAGGAAATGTAAATCACTGTGATTTTGGACAACTTATTATTTAGTTAATAAAACAAGTATCTTTGGTTTATAATAACCAAAGGTTTATTATAATGCTAGATAATTGTTCTATTCATTCAAGTGAGTTAATGAAATAAAAATTATTATCTTAATTTGATCAAATATTCTTAGCTCCATGAAAAAGTAAGGGAACTCCTAAATAGTAATAGGTAAATGTATTTAGAATTTATTTAAGGAAATAAAGAAAATTATGAGTAGATGATTGTTGTGATGGTGATGTTCAGTCCATTTACATATAATATTCCATTTTCAACTTATTTATGATTCTTTATCCAATTCAAATTCACATATTTCATTTTCATATAATTATTTGTGTTTTGATCTTTTACTTTCTTGAATTACCTTCTCACTTTATAAATTTAATTGCTTTGTTAAATCAATCTTCAAAAATTTAAGAATAATCTTAAGTAAATACAAAAAACAATAATTATTTATTCCAGCATTTATAATATTATTAAATTTGTTAATTTATTTTATAATATTTTAGTTTAAAATAATAATTGAATGTTTATATATTAATTTAAATAATTCTTTCTCTTTTTTATCTAATTTTTTTCTATATCAAACGACCAATATTACTTTATACTATTTCATCAAATTTATGTTTAATTAAAATATCATAATTGCTCGATAAACACTGCTCAGTCATTAAAGTAAATGATAATTAAGATTTTACAAGATTATAACTAAATTACTTTAAGTAAATAATCGACGTTTACAAAATGTAAATCAATGATTTTTAAATCATAATTTTCATTTAACCATTTATAATTTGCTGGCTTTCCACACCTTTGATTTTGATTTGTGATATCGCCAATACCCAATTAATATTAATCAAATTAGGGAATGATTTAAATTTAAAGTAACCACTTTCTATTTTTACTTCGATTAATATGCTACTTTGAATGCCAATATTTTTTTTTCATTCTTTATTTTCGCCCTTTAATACTTCTCTTTATTAAGGGCTCCTGATTCTTGACACATTGATAAGCGCTTGTATTCAATTCTTTTAACCATTCCAATACATTTCCCTCTAAATTTAGCGATCTATCTGACCCATAAAAGTGCTCAACTGCTTATCTGCAACACCTTTATAAAACTTACTTAATGTCCCATTTATTATCTAAATATTTGAATGAGAACTCATCATATTTTTGTGAAACATTAATTTGTATTCTCATGAATAATTGTAGATGTTGATGATAAAAGTATTTCAAAAATACAAGTAAATAAAAAAATTTATGTCCTCCTATCTAACACAATTCACATTTCAATTCACCATAATATTTTAATCTTCTTATTCTCCTTTTAAAAATTACTCCAACTATCCAAATTGTACCCTTCTAAAATCCAACTACTCACCATCCCCAGCTTCATTATATCCTTTAAGTTGCATAGTAATCTATAACAGAAGAATATATCAAGTCTGTCCAATAACTTTATTTTCTCCTTCTATTCAATTTACTAATAAATACTCTTAATGTCTAATCATATTGAAGCAATCATAGAATAATCCACCCTCAGATAAATATCTCGAGTTTTTAACCCGCAATTTTCAATAATAATTTCACTCAACAAAGCGGTAAGCACTCAATTTAAATAATTTTTTTTCTTCCATCTTGGAATTTTTTTAAAGCCGAAATTTTCCTTATCAGATTTTATTTTGGCCCTATAGGTCAGTCAATTTAAGAAATTTATAATTTCTCAAAATAGAATGGAAAAAAATGACATATTGTTTACAAACGAATGTACTCAGTTCTTAATAAAATTAAAAAACATTCATAGAGAAACAGTAAGATGGTGTTTCTTTATCCTTTAAATATATAACAGTGAAATTCATTGTATTTTTTTGAAAAATACCGATTGGCTATTAAGTTAATCAAATAAAGATAGAGTAAGAAAAATAATTCGAAACTAAATCAGATAAGCAGTTTTCTATCTTGCTATGATTTTATAACACCATAAATTATATCAAAATATAGAGAGTCATTCTTAAACTAATAACCAATGAGTAATCAAAAAGGTTGCTTGTTTACTTTTGCATCCATATTATTAGTAATACACAAGGATAAAAAATTTCAGTTTAAGCAGAAAATGATTATAATGGTTGATTCTAGTTGAAACATCTACTGATAATGATCCTATTTATCCAATTTAAACTTGTATCGATTTAAGGTTAAGCTTGATTATCACTTTTTGGCAACATTTGATATATTTATCAACAGTTTAAAGATACTAAACATTTTTTGCATCCTTAATTTTCTGGTTTATATTAAGATTATAGAATCCAATAATGCAAACTAATTAAGCCTTTTTAATTAAAATAGAAAAGAAGAAGCTTGCAAATTTGTCCGATAATTCATCTGTTTTTTTTTTTTTAATAATCATTTTAATAATGAATCTGTGATGCAATTCTTATTCCCATAGTGATATAATCAATTCAAGACATTATTATTATGTTCTATATATTAATTATAGAAATTCTGAATTTCACGAACTGAATTATCCATTACTCTTTTAATCAAAAAATCATTAATTGATGAATTATTTGTTTGTAAAATTAAGGATATCTTTTATAAAGATGACAATAAATATAGATTATAATTATAAATTAATATTATAGAAATGATTTTGGTTTCATTTATAAAAATCATATTTCCTCTGCCTTTTCTGCTATATAAAGATTGTGTATAGATACCTGGATCTGATTGTATTGATAATAGCTGGACTAATGCTCATGAAGTAGTTGAATGTCAAGGAATAAATTATATGGGATCATTTACAGGAGGAAGAAAAATATCAAGAACATATTGGTGTCCATCAGAGAAATAGATAAAGTTTTCATTCACATTAGCTAAATTTGATTCTTGGGATAATGAATCTGTTTTTGTTTATAAGGATAATGTTCTTATTGATAATATTAGTTATGGCCCTTATGAAGGAACACCCATGTGTGTACTTTCTTATTTCCCAGATTTAATGGTGAAGAAATTATATTAATTTATGTTGTCAAAAGGATAGAATTATGTGAAGTTTGAATTAGTTGATAATTTGTAGGCAATTAGTGAAGGTAAATAAAACAATTTAATTTTAAGAATCATGGGGAATTAGAGATATAAAAATAGAGGTTTTAGAACCCTGTGTAGATTTTTATAGTGAATGCAATTTTTAGGGAGATTTATGGAAGATCTGTTCTGGAAATCAGACGACTTTTGCCAAATTTGTTCCTTTCAAAATTAAATCAATCTATATTTTAAATGGTATTACTGTGTAGTTGAGAGACTCAAAATATCATGGAGGAATTTTATAGATATATACTTCCAATTAAACTTGCTTAGATGATTTTCATGTAATTTATATTAAATTATAATTTTAAGTTTCCTAAGTATGAAAAATTGTAATGAAGATTATTTTGATTACACTTGAATATATTTATTATAATAAACTAAGTATGGAGATTATCATTAAAAAAATTTAATTTTATTTTTTTATTGATTTAGGAATTAGTTTGTTTAATGTTTTAAACCGTTTTGAGTAAATACTGATTAAGATCAAAAAAATTCAAAAATACTTTTTAATTATCATAAGTAAGTGCAAATTTAATATATTAATCTGGCAATTTAATAATTTATTCTTAACTCCACAAATAGTAATTTAAAAATAAAATCTTAATTTATATCAGAATAGAATTTAAAAGTATTAAAAGCCCATCTTAAATTCAATATTTATGAGTTTTAGTCAAATTTTTAAATGTAAAGGTAATTTTTAATAATAATTTAAAATACCACCAAATAAAGCTAAAAATCTCTGGATATTTAGTAAAATTAGTTTGTTCTTATTCTTTTCTCTTTTTTCTATTTTTCAAGAATACTGTCTACACTTAATAAATATATTATAACGCTCATTGTCTAGTTCGTCACATTTTTCAATTCACTTTTATTACATACATTATAATACAAATGTCCTTTTTTCTGAACCATCTTCATTCCTTTACCCATCTCTTTACCTAAATTCATAACTCAATTCTTTACCCTTTTGGGATATTTACCTAAATGTCTCATCTTAAACTTAGGAATGTAATAATAAAACAGTTTTTAATATTGAATCATTTGATTTCATATTTTATAATCAATAAATAACGTAAAGATCTCAAGTTAATCAAAAAAAATAATTTTATGAATTAATCAACCTTAAAAATCATTAAAATGTAAATTTGGTAGTAATCTTTATTTAGGCAATTTAATCCTAATTATATTAACAATATTTATATCTTCTGTCAATAAATATACTAACAAAATATTTCAAATAAATAATCAAAATGTTTTTCTTCAGATAAATTATGATTGTTCTATTAAAGAATAAAATTTTCACACTTCTTTAAAAAACAAAAGAATTGCTTATGATTTGCTTTGTCTTTGGTATTGTTTATAGAATTTCTAAATATTTTAATTTTCTCCTTATCCTAAATTGTACGAGAACATTCTTGGTATTCTTAAAATAATTCTAAAAAGAAAAACAATTTAAATTCATCCTCTAATTTATTGTTGTCTTTATACAATTATTTAGCAAATTTTAGTTCTGGGGTTTATTGAATACTAGTAATTAATAAGTCTTTTATTTAATTAAATTATTCTTATACTAAATTGTAACAATTATATTGAATTTTCTTTTCATTAAAATATCCTTATAGTAATAAAAAGTTAATTAATTCTGCTTTTCTGTGTTTATCATTTTCTTTTTTTTACATCTCTTCTTCAATAAAAACTGGATTTTAAAATTCAGTTTTCCCATTTAAACTCTTAGTTTTTCCATTTTTTGGAAAATTTTCAATCAACTTCTATTTAGCTTTGTTTTGATAATCACTAAGTCAAAATAAAGTTTATACTTGGCCTTTTATAATATTTCTTTTTAACTTGGAACAGGAAAATAACCTTTGATTTAATTGATATCAAAATCAACAGTTTGGATTGATGAAATAATTTTCGATACTACATTTTGATCAAATTTATTATCTTATTAAGTTGGTTGTAACTAATATTCTTCATTCAATTCAAATTATTATTTTTCATACTTACTTTTGTATATTTATAATGATTAATATAATGAATCTTCTTTGTTTATTAAATTATCTTTATTGTCAATAACTTATTTAAGTATTTCAAAAGCTTTCTTCCTTTCCTCTTTCAAAAAGTTAGTTAGGGTTTTATCTTTAGAATATTATTGTTATTAATCAAAATGTATTCCATTTGATAAATTTAATTACAAAAGTATTTTATTATTACTCGAGGTAACCATTGGATGATTTAAATCATTTAAAAAATAATCAAGTACAGCTTTTCTTGATTATATTAAATTTATTAGGTTTTGTAAGTCTTTGTAAATATAATATTGAATTAGTGCTTATTCTTATTATTATGATTATTTTTAAGTTAATATTTGACTCATTTAATTAAAAATTAGATTTGATTAATAATAGTTCCATTTGTTTGGTATCTAATAGAATAAAATTATTATTCTATTATATATATATTTTAATATAAATAGCAAACTTTATTGAACTAAAAATATACATTTTTATTTAGATTTGATCTATTTTAATAAGCAGAATAGCTAAATTAAAGTTTATAAAAATAATTTTTGTAAATCAATCCTTAATTAAACCTTTTAATTAAAATAGTTTTACGATTTTTTTAATTATTTGAGGGTTGAGATTATTAAGTGAGTTCTATCTAAATTGAATTTAAATAGAATCTTAATATGTAAAATCGTATTTATTTTAATTAACCCAGAGTAGAAAGGTCTCTTTCTTTAAACTCCCCTCTTAACCTAGACAGCATTCTGACTTCAGACTTTAAGATTTCGATAATAATTAGAAAACATTTGAAAAAAAGAAAATAGAAATTGCTTTTTCTAAAAATTATAATCCTATTAAATCTTAACAAGATACATTTTATTAAAATTTCCAAAAATTACTTATTCATATCAGTTCTACTTGATAAATATTGTACTGCAATAAAATAATGAAAATATTATCTAATGATGATTTGATAGACAAAAACTAAAATTCCTATAAGCAATATAAGTTGATATTATTAATTTCCTTTAGAGTGAAATCAGTCGCAAAAATCAATATAACATATATCAGTTTAACTCAATAAAAGAATCTTAATTTTTAGAGTTGAATAATGGAGAAAATACAATAGATTAAATATACAAAGTAATATTATTTATATTGAAATATATTTTATTAGAGGATAAATATTTCTAATATAGCTTAAATGAGATTAAAATAAAAGAATATAAAATAATTATATATAAAATATAATTTATGATAAAATACAATATCAAAATCATAGATTAATAAATATAATTAATTTATCTTAAATTTTAATTTGAGTGTTTTCACAAATTATTATACTATCTTTTAATCAAATAGATGATATTAATGAATTTCTTTTTTTTTAGTCATTCTGAAAAACCATTTCTCAATTCTAATTTGAACTCATTTTAATTTTATTGTTATATTAGATTTTACTTAAAATAAAAATTCATAAGATCTTATCAAATACTTAATAAATGAAAAACCAAATAAATTAATTTAATTTCTAACAAAAAAGGACATTGTTTAATCTGCTAAAGGAAATGTTATGAAGATTAAAAAGAGAAAATTGATTTTTGGGAGAACCATCTTCATAAATTATATGATTAGTTGTAATATCATCATCTATTCATTGATGTATAATTTTTTGAAATTATTAAAATCTCCAATCTAGTGAACATACCTTTAAATTTAAGGAGATTTGTTAAATATATTAGAATATATATATTTAATATAAATTTTTCTGAAATACGAAATTTCATTCTTAAATTCAAATATTTTGATAATTTGAGACTGTTTCATGGATTGAAACTAGATTTTTGTTATAAAATTGATTTATTAATCCAATTCTTATTATTTTCTAAAAAAATAACAAATATAATAGCTTACTCCATTTTCAGTTTTGAATTTTCTCACATCCAATTAAATAATTTTTATCTTCGGTTTAACAATTCAATGGTCTATTTTTAAAGTCTTTAAGAGATTAAAAATCCATTCTTTTTTGGGGTATGTTTCCTTCAATATCCTATTTTTTGTCCTTTTATCTCCAATTTTAACAATTTCTGTGCTAAAAGTACTTCAATATTGATCTCATCAATTTGAGGTCCTAAAAGAACTCCTAATAAATATTGTAATTATTGATGAGTGTAATTTGGTAAATATCTACCTATAACACTAATTCATAGTAAGCAGATTCTTATGAAGGAATTAATTGATTTCTTGTTATCTTTTTATTCATCTTAAATTTATTATAATAATCATTAAAAACAGTTTATAAATGATTTATTTCTAATATTTGAAAAACATCAGGATTCGAATATTTCAGATTTGCAAAAATGTCTCACAATAGATTTAATAAAAATTTTTTTTTTTAATTAAAAAAATCCATTTATGAACTGGATTTGTTTAAGTTTTGAAAAATAGACATATAATAATTTGATTAGCAACAGAATATTGAATATTGACCTTTTGACTATATATGCAAACTATATATTATCATATTTTTAGTTTGAGACAAAAAAACTCTAGAGTTAAGAATGCAACAATCCTTAAAAAAAGTAAGTAAAAGGTGCTTAAATTTAAATTAAAACGAAAGAATTTAAATCTTAAAGCTTCAATAAATTGTTTATAAGAGAAAAATAAAGTTTTACTTCAGATGACAAAATAATCTCTAGAAGAGTTATAATTAAAAGAAATTCTAATAAAATAGTTCAAATATTGAACTTAGCAAGAATCAAATTCCCTAAGCTATTACATTAGTGTTAAATAATACTACTCTCTCATAACACATCTATAATTTTTTGAGAAAGATGGAAAAAAGAACAAACTAAAATTTTTCATTTCATAAATTATCAATATTTATAAATACTCACTAGATTCCGTTAAATAATAAAATTAGAAATTAATAATAGAAATAAAATTAATCAAGCAAGTACTCTTGATATTGGATAAGTAAAATCTAATATAACAATAAAATTAAAATGAGTTCAAATTAGAATTGAGAAATGGTTTTTCAGAATGACTAAAAAAAAAGAAATTCATTAATATCATCTATTTGATTAAAAGATAGTATAATAATTTGTGAAAACACTCAAATTAAAATTTAAGATAAATTAATTATATTTATTAATCTATGATTTTGATATTGTATTTTATCATAAATTATATTTTATATATAATTATTTTATATTCTTTTATTTTAATCTCATTTAAGTTAAAGCGTCAGTTAATGCCAATAAGAGAAGAAAAAAAAGATTAAGATTAATATTAATGTTTAAATTAAGCTTATCTAGAATAAAAGCAATAAATAAAAATATTATTTTAAATGAAACAATATTACATTTAATCATATTTATGTCATTCAACGTTTAAGCATAAGTAGCAATAGTAGGCAAAAGAAAAGTTTTTTAATATTATATCTAAAAGATACTAAGAAATTGAATTAAAAAAAATAAAGGGAAACATTGAAATTATGTTGTTATTAATTTTCTTATCAATCTTATTTTAATCTGTCTTAATCAAATTAATATTATCTAGATGGAGGAATACATTGTTTAGGAAGATATTGTTGTTCTCTTCTATTGTAACTAGGCTTATTGTTCATATTACAATTATTATATTTAAGTTAACCTGGGTATTGATATTTAGATTATTGGCAAACTTACTTTTTGGGAATATATGCAGGTACATATTAAGGTTATTATGGGTAATGTATTGATTAATTATTTTTTAGTGAATTTTTTTTTCCTTGTTGTTATGGTTAATTGTTCGTTTTTTCTTCTTTAAGATTTCCAATTTAATTTAAATTATTTCCTCTTTTACAATCTGACTATAAGGTTTATTATTATTGCTAACATTTTAAACCCAAATCGTTTTTTAATTATGAATTCTCAACTTTTCCTTCTGACAAATTCTTCAATTTGTTTACACAATCTGAATAACTTTAAAATTTGGAAAACCATTCTATTTTCTCCTTTAACTTTGAAATCCATTTATTATTTAGTGTTTTGGTTTCCTGAACAATTTAATCGATTTCAATATTCTAATTTTAATTTATTAACTAATCTATTTCATCATAAAATTAATATTATTATTATTTGATTTAATTCAAATCTTTCATCCAAAACTATGTAGATTACATCATCTCCTCTATTATTTAGTTTACAAAGGTCTTTATGGAGAGGAAGTTGCTTTTTAACTCCTCAAGTAATTTTATATTTTCATTAAGTACTATATCTCTTAATTCCTTTTTTTTTTAGTAATTTTCATAAGTCAATGAAATTGCTCTCTCAAATCCGATAGTTTTTTAATTCGACTCAAAATCTTTTATACAAGATTAACATAAAAGTCTTTAATTTTACTTTAGATTCTGATCAAGTATAATTAATTAAATAGGATTTTAATGCTCTGGATTAGCACATTTTAAATCTTAATATATTTTATAAATACTTTTTAAATCTTCAAATTTTGGTTGAGAACAATCTTCAGTGTTATACATTACTAATAATAATAAAAATAAATAATAGAAATATAATATTAATCATGATTATTATTTATGTTTAATGAATTAATAGATTTTATAAGAACAAGAATCCATATTGATAAGTCATATAATATCCTTAAAAAATATAATGAATAATGATTTATAGAAGCATCAAGTATTTTATGATAATCATTATATTTTTTATAAGATTATGAGTCTGAATATTCTATATTGAAACTCTTCAATTATTATGATTATTATTCCTTTATCTAGATACTTTGAATTGGATTTCTGACTATCAAATTTTTCATCCTATCTAGGCTATATGGATTAAATCATCAATAAAGTCTATAAATAAAAATTAAACATCATATATCACTTAACTATCTTAAAAAAGGGGATTTCTAATCATATTCTTATAATACTAATGAATATTAGTCAGATACTAAAGTTTAACAATAATGATCTCAAAGAATTGAATAGAACTTAAATTGTTCCAAATTGAAATATTAATATTCATCTGAACAATCAAAAAATAAAAAATGCCAATAGTATATTTTTAATATCCTTCTTATTAAAGATTTTAAGACAAAATTTATATTCATAGATAAATAAATATATAGTAATAGAAAAAATTAATTTTAAATTATGGAACCTTTGAGAAATAGTCAAGTTTGCCCCACACCATTAGTAAAAGATTCCTAAGAGTTGTTGAATACGATCAAACCTTCATCACTGTAATGAATCTTAACTTAAATTAGAAATTAAGTAAATCAACCTGCAGGGAGTGAAAATTATTAAAGTATTGATATAGAATCAAATCAAAATTGTTCAGATTTATTGAAGGATTAATCATTTACTTTTAAGAAATATGTAGGTTTGAAAGCTCTTTTGCTTTATTTTATTTAACATTTTATAGCTTAGATGCTTATTTTATCGAATATATTTTTTGATAAATCAAATATTGAATAGGGTGTTAGCACATTTTTGATTTTTACTTATTTTGGGATTATTATCATGACTAGATTCTAATCATTGTAAAAAGTAATAATTATGCCATATTAAAATATTAGGTACCTAAATCATATATAATATTTTTTATAATCCTAATTTTAGAAGCTTAAATATTTTCTTAATAATTAGAGGTGATGAATTAATAAATTTCTGAAATTAGTCCAATCTAAATAGATAAAGGTATGATATATCTCTAAAAACTCAAGATAATTTAATTTTAAATGATGTTGGATACTAATGTTTTATACTCTTTTTAGAAACGTCAACATTAATCATCTATTTATTACGTCAAAAAGAAGATTTGAAACTAAAGAGTATTATTATATATCATTAAAATTTAGACTTTTTCATCATGTATGGAATAATAAGTATTGTGCCACTATTACTTTCTTCTTAGTTTGCTTATATTTCAATCATTATATTTTATAGAGGGTTTGCACTATCTTTAACTATTTAACAATAATTTAAAGGAAGAGTAAATATATTATTTTTAAATTAAGTTCTCATTAAAAATCAATTCAATTGTTGGAATGGCAAATAGTTTAAATTTAGGATTTTTGATACCTTGTAATTGTTGATAGAAAGAGTTAATGTCATAAATATATTATTTTTTGAATTATCTAATAATATATTTATATAAATAATATTCATATTTATGTTGTAATATAATTATTATAATTAAATCACAAAAATTGAAAAAACTAAACAAAATCATATATCTAATTAAATTGATAGATTTATATAATAAATTTAATCTATTAAATTTATAAAATAAAAAAAAATTAATTAGGTTATACAATTTAAAATTTTAGAGAAATCTTTTGTTTTTGGAATAATTTAATGAAATAAAACAAATGAATACTCTCTCTTATAAATCTTTTAACTTAAAATATAAGTAAACTTTTTAATAAAGATAATATAATATCATAATTCAAAAGATTAATAACACTTATTTACAATTAAAAAATAATCAACTTGAGACTTTATTATATAACAATTATTGAACCATAACTTTTTCTTTAAATAATTCCCATTCTGAATTTAATAGATCTTATTTTTTCTCATTTTAAGGTTTTCTAAGTTTATTTCTTTTATAATATTCTTGCAAGTCTAATTTTCTTTACTTTTCTTCAATATCTGATAGCAATTATGCTTAATCCTTAATTATATTTGAATTTTTAGAGTATATTTATTTGATTTCTTAATTTAATTCAGATTTTTCAATAAGATCAACTTCTTTATAAACTAAGAGTTAATTAGTTAGATGTTCAATCAAAAATTCTGGGCAAAATTATATTAATTTTAAGCTAATTTTATAAACAATTGTAGTACTAGATGAACTAACAACAGTCATTCTTGCTCTATCTGTACCTTTATCACCTTCAAGTCTTAATCCTGTTAATACTCTTCCAAAAATGATATCTCCAGGATACAATTTTTTATAAATATAACTCTTTTAATATTATATATATCCATTATTATTATTGCATACAGCATAATCAGGAATTTTATATGTGATATCTCCATCTTATGTTAAGCAAGACAAATAATCTTAAGGTTCATTATGAATAACTTTTATAGGATGTTCTTAATAATATCTGTAGGATTTTCTATTTTATTTTTTTCGAAAATGTTCTGGTAATTTAATTCTTTCTGTATTTATTGTTCTAATAACATTACATGATCCTTTATAGATTATGTACATATATTCTAAAATATCTCCTTCTTTAACCAACACTTCATCTAGATGAAATCTTTATGGTATTAATTAATTAGCTAAAGGTATTAAAACAAAAGGTTGAATTTATTTAAAGAATCTCAAAGATTTAAGCATTTTAATTTTTTATTCTAATTCATCTTACATCAAAACCATAAGTATATTTTTAAAATTTTCTCTACTAATGGCTAATAAATGACAAGTTTCACTAGCTTAAATTGATGCTTTTCTTTATTAAACTTTATCAACTTTTTTATATTAAATATTATTAGATTTTGCCAAACCAGATGACTAAGCTAATTCATCATTATTAGCTAAATTCATTATATAATGTTTTTCTTTAATATTATCTTCCTTAACCAAATTAATAATATTAGTATTTTGTCTTTGTAATTCTTTAATTTTTTATTTTTAAAAGGCTTCATCTTATTATCCTAGATCCTATAATTATTATTTAATGAGTTATTCCTTAACTTCTTTAAGTGATTTTATATTTATATTTTCTAATTTCTCTTCAAGTACCTCTTCTGAACCCTTTTAAGTAGTTTCCATCATTGCTAACTCTCCGAAATGTTAGCCATCATAGAGAGATGAAACTACTTATTCAATAATAGGTCCAAATTAATTAAATTTCTTCTCTATTTTAACAACTACACTACCTGATAAAATAACAAATAAATTATCTCCAAAATCACCTTAATGAAATACATATTCCCCTGGAGGTACTTCAATATATTAGCCTAATTTAACTAGATTAATCCTTGTAGATTTAGTAAATCTTTCAAAAAATATAAGTTTTTATACAATTTTATCAATTTCATCAAAATTGATACTATCAAATGGTTAACCTTATTCAAGTAATTCTCTTTTAATTTTTAGTTAATCTGTTAGAAATTATAATTAATGTTCTGTTAATACATTATCTTTAATTTTAAGGAATTTATTTTTATCTGCATATAGATTATGTATAAAGACTTCAGTATCTGCTGTCATTTTCATGAATTTTACATCTAAATGTGCTAATTCATCATATAATGCTTTTATTTCTTCAGGGTTTATTTATAATATTTTTTTGGTTGTTGTAATATTATCTAGATTACATTATAATAATCTAGGTTCTTGTCTTATTTATTAAATTTAGGAGAATAATTGATTAATATTCATAGTAGTTGGTTGGAGAATTTATTATTAATTTACAACTTCTATTGTTTATTATTTTGTGACAGATTTAGTTAGTGAATTATTAGTCTTAGTAGTTCTTTTTGTTATGGTTTAAATTAATGGTTAAGATTTGATAATTGATTATTAAGTACTCATGTGAGTTGGCATTGTAGTTGAATATTTTTTAGCGAATAATTTCATTTTAGTATGATAATAAACATCTTTATTTTTAGACTCTTTAATTTCTTCATCATTTGAATATTATGGTAATTCAAATAATGATTCTTTATTTGGTAATTATAATGAAGTTTAAGGTCGAGTAGTTTTTCTTGAAGTTTGAAAGTATTATGAATCACATATTACACTTTATTTATTAATTTTGTTAAACATTAATGAATCAATACTTGGTTTTGAAGTTGATTTTACTCTTCTTGTTGCAGTAGGTAATCTCTTTGGTCTAAATATTCCATTATTAATCATTAATAATATAATATTTATAAGTTATTTAGATATCTAATATTAATTAAATTATTTGATTATGAATAGTCATTTATATTATATATTTTATCAATCTTTCTTAGATTGGTCATTATCTTTTTTTAGGAGACTTTCTTATTCTTCATCCTTATTAACATCATCTAATAATTCATCAAGGAAATTTTAATCTTAGAATAATTACCTATATATAATTAATTTATTAATTACTTTTATGTGATCTAATTTTATTGTTATTGCTATTGTGGATTTTAATTTTTTTATTCTGGTTATTCTGGTTATTCAGATTATTCTACTTACATACTTAATAATCTAGCTTATTCTAATAATTAATCATTTTCTTCTTCTATAAAATTTTCAATCTTTTCTTCTTATATTTATTCTTTTTAAGGTTATTAAGTCTATTATTAAGGTTATTAATTCTATTATTATTATTATTATTATTATTAAGCTAATTATTATTATAATCTTAATGCTTCATCTTCAAGACTCATTTTCATTATCATTGCCAGTTCTGGATCTTTATTTGGATCTACTCCACCATATTCTGAGAATTATCCACCTGTTCTTTATTATGGTACTTATTGTTCTTATCCTGGTTCAGCTTAAAAATCTGAATAATTTCCTAATGATGAAAATAATGTTTCTGTTGCACTCATTCCTGGTTAGATATTAATAAATTTTGATGATGATCCTTTCTATACATTTTCAAAGAATATTTTCAATTTCTAAAGATGTTCTTCATTCTACTCTCCAAAATTAATTAAATCAATTGCTATATTATTTTTCTTTAATCTCTTTGCAAGACTAATATTATTTAAATTATTTAATACTTTACTAAAGTATCTACTTCTTCTTCAATTGGACTTGCAACAAATGCTACTATACGTTGATGTTATTATTTATTAATTCTATGTTTTAATGCTAATGATGCCTATTGAAGTGCAACAGAAAACTTTAAATTACCTAATTATTAAATTAAATTATTTACCCTCTAATCTAGTTTTATGGAATTATCCTTAAATTAAATCTCTATCATTTGTTGGAGTCATCAATAATCTTACTTGTTTACCACCTCCTAAAATCAATCCCATTCCACTTTCCATGTTTGAATCAATAACTACATTAATATATAATTCAATGGCTTCTTGTTAAGCATTCCATCTAGATGGCTCTAAATCACCATTTCTAGAGAATTCTGAGTTATCCAATACTACTACAGCTGCTTCTAGAGGCATTTTTATTAAATTTAAATAATTAATAATCACATTGGGATAATTTTTGTATGTTTACTTGAAAAGTTAATTAATAATCATATAATCATTATTTAATATAGATTAAATAATCAATTAAATGTTATTTATAATTTTTGAATATCTCAAATATTTAAGCTATCATTTTTAAATAGTTATGAATTTTTATTATACAAAATCATAAAACAATAGTAATTTTAAATTATTTAATAAGAATATATCCATTTTCTAATTCAATTTAATATATAAATACAATAATAATATTATTGTGAAAAATATCAAATTAAATAAAATAATTAAACATTGATAAATTTATATTTCACTATGAAGCTTTAATATAATTTTTAATCTTCAGTCTTTATCTTCTGATTTAATAAATGATAAATGCTATTATAATTATAAAGCCAATTGATAAAAGTATAAAATAAATAAATATCTCTTTATTTTATATATTATTAATTAACATTAATTCAACTTACAAAGTTGTTACATGATTCTTGGCTACTAAATTGAATTTTTCAACTTCTTTTTATTCATTCAACAATTAGAGTTAATAACCAAATTATCCAAAATAAAATTCAGAATTATTTATTGATTCAAATATTACATGAGTAGTATTGAATAGGTGAATTTTTTAATCATTTTCAGTTATTTTATGAATAGGATCATAAAATGATTTTTCTAATGTCAAATCAAAAATCAAATTTTCAGAAATGAGAGTTGAATTATCCAAATAAATTAGGTTATTTAGTTGATTTATATTTCTAAATAATTTAGATACCATCCCTTATTCAAATTAGTATAGTCTATTAAATTATATATCATAAATAATTAAATAAGTAGATAATTTCTAAGCTATTTAAACTTAAATAGAATTCTATTCAAGTTTACATTTTAATACCATGAAATCGCTCTATTTCAAATAATTGAAATATTAGATTATTTAATTATATGGAATTAAGGGAGTTATTAAATCTGAGAGTCGGAGATAGTTTAAGGTGATAACTCCTAATATTGAAATACTTGTTTCTTCTAATTTTAATATAGTTAATAAAATTTCTAATTAATCATTATTTTTAACAAATTAATATTCAAGAAATAGATATTCATTGTTTTAAAAACTAATGGAATTTTTTAGTTCAAATTTAGTTGAAATTGCTATTAGTTGATTAAATTAAAATTAGAATAATTTCTGTTGATTTTCAATATGAAGAATAATTAATTTGCCTATTTTTTTGACTTAAAGGGAATTTGTGTTATTAATTACAATATCAATTTAGTGAATTTATTCTGATGTAAAGGATCCTTTTATATTATCATAAAATAAAATTTGATAATAAATAAATTGTTGATCCTTCCAAAATTAAATTAATTGATATTTTGAAATCTAAAATATTTTTAATGTTTAATCATTTTTTTAATTGATATTGACATTGAGAATCTAACAAGTAATATGATGAATCTGATTATTTAATGCTATGTTATAACATTCAACATCAATATGATTAATTTAAACTTTAGATTTTAAAATGCAGTTAATTTCATATCTTGATTTGCATACTTATAATTGTTTAGTTCTTAAAAATGGTCCAAGTAATTTTAAATTAGTATTATTAGTAATAGAAACATTAAAGATTGGACCATAAAAATACTTTGGCAATACTATATCATTATTTATCAATTTATGTTCAAAATAGTAATTAGATTACAATTATTGGCATTAATTTTAAATGTTTATAATTATCTAACATTCTTTAGAATTACCTATTTTATTAGACACAATTTAAATAGGATAAATATATTCATTATACAATTTACTTTGAGTAGAGTTTACATTTTTAATTTATAGATAAATGTTTTAAATATCTATTTATCTCATTAAATTATTTTCATCTCGATATACTAAATTCTCATTTTAAAGAAAGAAATTTTTATTATTACATTTAATACTTGTTAACCATTAAATTTATTAATCTTATGGTTAAATAATTAATAAATAAGTTTATTCTGATTTAATAGCAAGTAAAATCAGATAACTTGTAATAGTTTAGTAAACTAAGGGTCTTACAAAAGTAAAATCTTAAAAAGTAGCATTGTGAGAGAGTTGTATCTCATAGTTTTAAAAGTAATAACGAATGATAATATTTTAATTTAAATGTACACCAATAGCTTAAAATCCAAAACTATATTCATTTATATCAATAATTTATATATCCTAAATTCTTACATAATTAACTGATTATTCCTATTCTACTATTAAAATAGTTGAATATTAAATATATGTTTACTTACGACATTTTTTATAGAAAATAATATCTTCATTTAGAAATAGATTTTCTGATAAGTATTATTAAATCTATGAATGAGGATTTGGAGTTAATTCAAAAATTTATGGTATTTAAGCTTTACTTTAAATAAATAATATAATTCCAAATTAAGTTAATTTATCTGGAACATATTCAATATAAAATGTCTCTATTGATAGACAATCATCTTTGTCAAATGATAAAATTCTTGCTTCATTTATTCCTAATTTAAATATCCATAATAAATTATTTTTAGTAAATAATTACATTCCATAAATATTAATTGATATATCTGGACATTTCTAATTACAAGATGTGTATCTAAGAATATCATTTTTTCTAAAGACGGCTGAAATTTTTGAATATGCTAGTAATGTGTAATTAAGTTTATAGAATGATAATTTACATTAATAAATCTAATCTAAATAATTTTAATTATGAGATTGTGTTTCAAATTATTTTGGAACTTAAATTTCATAATATATATTATTTATTTATATATATTTGGAATGTGTAATTTAAATTTCAGATTAGCAATTATTAATCCCGTATGGATATATTTTACATGACCTTTCTTCATTTTATTGAGTTTTAATAATTTTATAACACAATACAAAAATTAAAGAGAGTTCTTATAAATTGATGCTAAATATATAAATATATTTTTTAGTAGGTTTAATAAAAGGTTATAAAGAATGATACTTATAGAATTAAATTTATCTTAATTCTTAATCAATTTAATAAAAGTAATTAAGAGAATTTAGAAAATAGATTGTTTAGTTTAGTAATTATATTGTGTAATTAATGTTATTTGTTAATATTAATGATATCTCATTTTCTTTAGTGATGAATAATCGATCATTTATAAAATGTATTTAATAGGATGAATTAAATTATGTTATTATTTCAGTTTTCCAAATATATATTTAACCTGTATCTGTTTGAGTGAATATTTATTGCAATAAACATGATTTGCTAAATAAAAGTTTCTTGATCTTTCTCTTAAATATATTATGTTAATTAAATTAAAAATTAATCCAATCGAAGAAAATGTAAAAATTATTTTCAATTAAAACTAATTTATACTACTTTATTGATTTTACACAAATTTGAATATCATCTAATTGCTTTATTTAAATATCAGTATTTATTTATTACAAAATAGTTTAATTTAAAAGTACTTTATTCAAATCTAAATGGATGATATTCCAATTCTCACATTTATGAAAAGTTATAATGAATTAGAAATTCATTAGTTCTAAATAAGTTCTTTAACAATGAGTAATATTTATATTGTCTAAATTATATTAGTATAATAGTTTAGTTGTTTTATTATAAATAGAGACTGTATATACTTTAAGAATATTTATGGAATAACAAAAGACAATAAATTAATTATTTTTGTATCCAAAGAATTCTTCACATA